GTGTTTTTGGAGTCATAGGCAGCATTCCTCCTCCTCCAAACACGGCAAGTTGAGTTGATGCCAAAGAGCTTGATTTTGGTCTCATCTGACCACAACACTTTCACCCAGTCTTCCTCTGAATCAGTCAGATGTTCAGTGGCAAACTTCAAACGGGCCTGTAGATGTGCTTTCTTGAGCAGGGGAACCTTGCGGGCACAGCAGGATGTCAGTCCTTCACAGCGTAGTGTGTTAGCAACTGTTTTTTTGGTGACTATGGTCCCAGCTGTCTTGAGATCATTGACAAGTTCCTCCTGAGTAGTTCTGGGCTGATTCCTCACCGTTCTCATTATCATTGAAACTCCACGAGGTGAGATCTTGCATGGAGCTCCAGACCGAGGGAGATTGGCAGTTAATTTATGTTTCTTCCATTTGTGAATAATCGCACCAACTGTTGTCACCTTCTCACCCAGCTGCTTGGCGATGGTCTTGTAGCCCATTCCAGCCTTGTGTAGGTCCACAATCTTGTCCCTGACATCCTTGGAAAGCTCTTTGGTCTTGGCCATGGTGAAGAGTTTGGAATCTGGATTGATTGATTGCTTCTGTGGACAGGTCTCTTTTATACAGGTAACGAGCTGAGAGGGCTCCCAATGTCAGCTCGTTACCTGTATAAAATACACCTGGGAGCCAGAGATCTTGCTGACTGATAGGGGATCAAATACTTATTTCATTCATTTAAATATAGGCCCCTATCTACCACCCAGTGCCAGACATAAAATCCCATGTCAATGTAATTTCCCATCTTGCACCTGACACTGTGTCCTTTTTTCCTCCTAGCGCCCAAGTCGTCAAGATGCCGCATACACTTTCATCCACCTGGGAGTGTCGATGTAAACGAGAGGCCTTTTTAGCCATGTTTTAGCGTACTTGGTATTTTGAGGATGCAATAAAACTTTGCACCAGCCAACAAAAGGCTGGCCTAAGTCAGCAGGTCAGCATTTTAAAGGCACTGGATCAAATTAGTAATATGCGCATATATAAGCAAATGCACAAGGCACAGACACGTTGCTTGGGACTCGCAGTAACACACCATAATGCTACAGATTAAAAATAGAATGTTTTCAGAATGTAAATGGTTGATTATAGTATGTATCAGAATTTCCTCATGACAATGTAAATGGCAAATTATCTGAGCAACCATGGCTCCTGTCTCCCTCCAGGTAAATCCGCTGTGGTACCAGCATGATGGCCTTTTAAAGGGAATGGGAGATGGCATTTTGATTGGTTTATTGCATGTGCATGCCCAAAACACACCCATGGATTAATTAAGAGAGTAAGTCCACTCCTTTTAAAACAATCGCCTGATGAAGATATACTTTTTATGCTGTCAGAATAGCAAGATTGGTCTAGACACGCACTGTATGCACCTTGATTGTTCTGCCTGGAAAGGTGCTCTTTACATCATCAAAATAAGGCCCATAGTCTTTAAACTGCATATATGAATTTCCAAGTAAAATCTGGTGAAGTGTGTACCCTAAGTATGATTCTCTACAGTATATGGACTCGATGACTTGTGGATTTGCACAGCCATCTGCACTCCTGGACTTCCCAGGAATGCGCTCATTACCTTATTGTGTCTTCGAGTGCGGGGAAGTCCAGACATTTGCATTCAAGCACCTCATTAGGAGACATGGGCTCTGGTCCCACTCCACTAGCTTTCAGACAGGTTGCCTTTTAATGAGCCAACGAAGCACCTTAACAGCAAGCTGAAAAGCTGTGATTCATTGCCCTATGTGGTTGTTTCACCTCTGATCTCACCCAATGCTGACACATCACCTGGACACAACAGCAGCAAGTTGAGACAGAGAGCCTCCAGAGATAAAGTGTTTCACCGTTGGTTAAGTCATAGCACCTCTTAGCATCAAGGCCAAGTAATCAGAGTCACTGCTACTGATTGACAACATCAACAGTCAAGGTCATAGTGTGCCACAGAATTTTAGAATCTTACTTATTGCTTCTTTAAATCTGCTTCACTGTCATTCTGTCTTTTCTTTGCCATATCACCTTGCTGCTGCTACTGTAGTGACTTGCTGTAAGTTTCTCCAGCAGAATCATTCAAGTTTCATTTCATCTTGTTTTGTTGTAGTTTGTGGATGAGGTTGGTCTGACCCACATCACCCCAAATCCCACGCGGCTTCGGGGAGCCCACAATCTCCTGAGTCACCTCCCTCTGCACTCCCAGCAGCTAGGCAGGGCCTCGAGCCAACTGATTCCCATCGGAGGGATTCACATGATTCAGCCCAGGTCCCCCCTCCCTCTTTACAACTTGGTGAGCAGCCCCACAGAGGCCACAGCTAACCCTGCAGGGACAGGAACTTCCTGGAGACTAAGTGACACTACAAGGTTTTCTCTGCTACAGCATCAGGATACTCTCAAAGAGCCGTCACCCAGCAGCCGAGCCAGCTCCCCGGATCCCGATGCATTAGGGGCAACATCCAGAAGCAGCCAATCAGATGCTCTGTCACACAGAAACAATGAAGGTTTTGATGTCCAACAAGTGTCCAGTCTTGGGACAGAGACAAGACATCTTGAAGGGAGAACAGGCGCACATGTTAGAGAAGGGTGTCTTAACCCGGAGACCACCCAAGGCCAAAAACAGGCTCCTCCCTCCTAGACACAGCTCTGATAGGAGGGGGAGTCTGAAGGGACAGTGCAAAAGACTAAAAAGCAGAGTCTACGTGTGAAAACACTACACTGGGTTAGACTCAGAGGACAAACGACAAGAGCACTTGAGCACCGCTCCTGAATGACACTTATGTAATTATCTGAATTATATATATATATATATGTGTGTATATATATATATATACATACATATTGCTTTAGATATATAGTATGTTTTGTAAATCTTTTTTTACCCTCTCGTTTGATGTCATTGTTAATTTATTTATGTGCTATTATGCAAACTCTGTACAATATGCAAAAGCTGCTGGAATGAAAATAGGCAAAGTTTTAATCAGTTTCTCTATTAACCCTTTGGACAGCTCTAATATAATATTGCTGTGTTAATGTACTGTATTAACAAAATGGATATAGAAAGGTACTACAAATATTTATTCACCCCGACCAGTATTTTGAAGTGCAATTTTATGTCAAGATTGTGATTTGAGATGTCATTCTTAAAGGCTGTGATTATTAATATGATTTGTCACTTTTGTTGTTGTTGGTGATGTTGTTGTCTTTGTGTTTGAAGAAGCAGGGTTACGATCACCTCCTTTTCTAAGCTCTTTAAGAAAAGAAGTTTCAGATCAAGACTTTTGGAGTGCACTAACAGCTGATTTGATACCCAGAGGACACTGGTTCACCTACATGGTAGCTACAGTTTTTTTTTCTTAAACAGATACATGTATTTTTGTGTTGTTGCTTTTATAAATGATACAACCACTCGTCATTTTCATGTTTACCATTAAACTTCTCATTTTTACAGATTTATATTAAAACCGTGGCACGCATGTGTTTTTTGAGTTGTTACAATTACTGATGCATTTTCAAAATGCAAGGACACGTGTGTTAAATAAGTGTAGGAAAACCACATCTAAAAATGGGATTGCCTTCACCACTCTTAAGAAAATGACTAGAAAGTAAATGAAGTAAGCGTTTTTAGTTAAAGGGTTAGGTCACCCAATTTACAAAAAATATATTTTCTCACTTATAGAGGTATTTAGTCATGGAGGGAATTTTGGTCTTTTATTGAGATCAAGTCTTCTTTGTTTCCTTTATAGTGCTCAAGGCACTGAGAAATTATACTTAGAATCAACAGCAGTGTGTCCTTCAAGAAATAGTGTCCCTGTCTCACAAAGCAGTGGACTATTGACAGCAACTGTAGCTTTGGGTTTGATGCTGGTTTTCCAGTCCCACAAAGACAACTCGAGTTAACGCCGTATTCACTTGTCATGGTAACTAACCCTGCAGTGAATTGCCTCTCTTGAATCAGCCTTCCAAACTGGACCAGGATTAGACTGTTTCATAACACCGGTCAGAGCTTATGTGAGCAGACACAGTGAGTTGTAGCTTATTTCATGATGCTGAGACACGGACAAGCCATCAAACCCTGATCACATCAATTCAAAGCAAAGAAAGTGCATGTGTAAAGATAAACTCGTGTTCACAAAGCCAACAAGCAGCAAAAACTACCTACATTGGTCTGTATCAAAATGTTTCTGAAACGAAAATAATGAATCTTTGCTAACTCTAGGCCACTGAAAACCAAAATCTAGATTAGCTGATTGGCTCTGGTTTGTGAGATCTGGCACTGGCAGTGTATGAATTTAGCTTGGAAGTGACCAAAGATCTCTGAGCAAAACGAGAAATTGGAACAAAAACTCTTGGTGGATCTAATTATGAAACTATTTTCTTTTGATACAACAAATATCTTAGGTAAAATATTAGGTTGGCGTTGTCTCAGACAGTACAAGCCATACATTTTTGAAATAAGGTGCTTATTACATTGGTCATGAACTTTGGGTCATGACCGAAAGGGCAAGATCCCGGATACAGGCGGCCGAAATGAGCTTTCTCC